TCCGCGAAACCCGCGGGTTACACCTCCTTGGCCCGTGAACCGCCCGCACGGGTCACGGGTCGGCCCGCGGTCCCGATTTTCACGGGCCGGTTTTTACGGGTCATGGCCGGCCCGTCCGTCTTGACACCTCTAAACATAGTGACCTTGAGATGTTGGAATAAGAAGTTCGGAAAATATTTCATGGATGTAACCAAATTGAACTAGTAAAACGTAACATGGCTTTCGACTCCAGTCAAACATAATTATATTCATTTAAAGTTTATCTTCAACCATACCTTGATTACGAACTATTGAGGCATCAAGTGCCCTTTTCTATTAAAAGTCAAATGGTCAAAACATTTATGTGGGAATTTTTGGTGTCGTATTTCTTACCCGATCCCCACATAATCTCTTATATAGCAAAGTACAAATACAATACTTCTAGATTTTTCTAGAAATTGCTTGATAGAGTAAATTACAAATATACATTTCTTAAATGAAAATAATATTTACTATTTTTTTGGAACGGAATATCCATTTTCTACTTAATTATACTGTCTTATACTAAATAAGAGCACTGTTTATTCGTATAAAGAAAGCTGAATATAATATCTATCGCTATAATCAGACCGACAACATTTTCCAACGGTGAGACTCGATAGGATGAAATGATTTGTAAACAACAAGAAAATACGTTTTAATCAAGCGGGTCGTCGTAGATAAAACCAAGAATCAAGAAAATATTTCATCGATGAGAAGATAACAATTGAAGTTGGGTACATAAATTAATTTTTGCTTGATCACGCCAAAGAAATGAAACATCAATGTTTAAATATTTGAATCACTCAATAAAAGTAAGGGTTACGCTACCCGGTGTACAGTCCCCTCACAATATGGGGTCCACATTTAAAACGAAAGTCTAATACTCCTTTAAAATTAGAAGAAAACAGTTTGCAGAATAATAGCTTATCAAATAGGCAAATCTTTTGTCTAATTCCTTTCAAGGAAAAAAAAAACATCCATAAGAATCGAGTTGCTTCGCCTATTCCACTTGTCCAAATAACGACACGTAGCCCATACATAAATGGTCGTTTCCTCAAATTTGTTTCCCACATAAGTATTGTATATAAATTAAGAGAAATGCTACGTCTACAATCTTTTTACACAGTAAGTTTGACAACTCTCTCACATGGGATGGGGCCCACAATCGCGGATCCCACCCATGTGAGAGGACCGTCAAACTTACTGTGTAAAAAGGCTGTACATTCTGCATTTTTCATAAATTAATATGTCATGCTATGTGTACATGGGTGTACACATAGGAATTGACATAA